ACCGCATCACCTTCCTGTAAACCGTGTGATCAGGTATCAGCTTCATTTCAACACAGTGGTTAAATTTATTGCTGCACATTGTCACTCCAGCTCTCCTGTCTTACCTGGGCACCTGCCTCAGCCTCCAGGGGGAGGTGGGTGGGGACTGGGGCCTGGCAGAGTGTCCTGGTTTTAGCAGGACACAGAGCAACAAAACGAGACTCCCGTGCTGACCACGAGGCTCTCCCAGCAGCTCTCTGTGGCTCCTGCCCCAGCCCTGTGAGCCTTGGCCTCTCCTGCTCAGTCCCCTGGGCACACACCACCACTGCAAGGGTTTTGGTTTAATCTGAGTACAAGTCTTTATTTAGTAGATTTATAAAAGAACTTTACATGAGAAGTACAAAAATATGAAATAGGCTTTGAATCTTCTTAGGTAAAAACTACCGTTATTTTTTCAAGCTTTAGAAACGTGTAACCTGCACAGTTGGCATCTTAGGTAAATTGCTCTCATACATTGCAAAACTAGGAAAAACACTTCCTTTGGAGTAGCTCCAGGAAAGTACCTGTGTGTACCCAGTCATTCATACTACTGTCAATAATTTATTGGTTTAAGACACAATGGCACAGTCATACAAACTTCTCCTTGAATTAATTCCTTCGGATGATGCAGTATCACTTTCCTCTTCCACTCGTTGTCAGGTGATTAAAGATAAGCACAAAAGTGATTAAGACTGATTTGGCATGCTTCATACTTGTACCACTTGGATTTGATACTACTTTGTAGTAAAAATTAAATAAATATAAATAGGTTAAATAAATACACTATAAAAGAACACCCAGTTTTACATCAGAATTCAGCATTTCTTCATCCTTCACACACACAAGGCTTTGTCACAGCTTCAGGGCCAATGCAAAGCAATACTGCAGCTCTGAAAACACAGCCCCTGGGGATGGGATTACACACAGAACAAGTTCTGGTGGAGCTCCACGGACCCCTCAAACACTGCCCTGGTGTCACTGCTCTGCACAGCTCTCCCCAGGACCCGGCTCACCTCTGGCTCCACAGCTGGTGGTCCTTTCTCTCCCAGGTGAGTCAGGAGCAGTCACAGCTGTCAGCACTGTGTTTTCTGCAGTCACTCGTGCACGTCTGGTCTGAACCTGCCATTGGAGTCGAGGACTGTTCAAGCTCTTCTGTGAATACTGGTGGATATTAAACAATGAGGCTGATCTTCAACGTAGGTAAACCTTGAACTGATTCTTCAAGTCAGTATTTTTTAGAACTTCATTGTAGTCCAAGGGCCAGTGTTCTGGGGTAGTACTGATTGAACAGAAATGCGACTTTCTTACTGGTTTTTGGATGATCACAGCTGATTCGCTCTCCAGTCACTGTGGTGTGCCTAATGCATGACGTGGCAGTAGTGCAATGGCAGGTTGGCTCCAGCCAAAGGGCTCCTTTGGCAGAGGTCATTATATCCTTTCAATCACTGTATTTTGATTTTCTTTTTCGTAGTAAAACACATCAGTTATAAAATCACATACAGTACAGGGATGTTGGGTGATGGTTAGATCCAGCTTTTGCTCTCCATTTTCACAGTCTTGAAAACTGCCCTGGAGTAACTCCAGCCCCAAGGCTCATCACGTTTCTGGTTACCACTCCTTCCTTGGGCTTCCACCATCTCCTGCTCCAGCACAGGCAGAGGTACAAGGCACTTTTTGGAAGCTTGGTTTCTTCAAAGAGAGAGAATTCAGCTCTTTGATCCCATTTTTCCCTGCTAAAGGTAAGCCTGTGCTTGGAATGTTGGTCCCAGAGAGGAAAGCTCCATCCTCCTCCTCTCAAACAGTGTCTCCTGCAAGGCTCAGCTCTGCAGAGTCCTCAGTATAGTAATGCTGGAACAGTCTCTCCTGGCAGCAGATGTGCATAGCGTGGTAGGTGTGCAGGAGCAGGTGAGGGAAACGAGCTGTAAAGTAACACACAAAATCATCTGGGATAGAGCCCAGGGTCTCCTGCACTTCGGGAGGCAATTCCCTGTAATGGTGCTTCTGTGGAGGCAAACACAACAGGGAAAGGCTCGTCAGAGGGAACATGCTCCAAGGAGCCTCTTGTAGACAGAGCTGTTGTCTCATGGGCAAGGTGAGCTCACTCCCTCCACCAGGGCACAGCAGCCAGAGGCAGGAGCAGGAGCAGCAGCTATGGAAGGGAATCCTTTACCTTGTTTCTCATGGCCCTCAGGAGGTCCCGCACGGAGCCACCTTTGTAGGATCTGAATTTTCGCAGGTCTGCAAGAGAAACCAGAGTGTTTCCTTTTGTGTTGTGGGGCAGTTTCAGTTGCTGAGGTGTGTGCCCACAGCCACACATCTTTGTAGCATGTACTTGCATTTTGCACCATAAAGGTCATGTGCCAAAACTGAGCCAGTGTTAGCCTCACCTTCCTGTCCCAGCAAACTGGGAACAGCACAGAACTCCCTTCCACTCTGATAAGGTACTGCCCATTACCTGTCTGAAGGGGAACAGTGATGTGCTCTCTCCAGTCCATTTTCACCACTTCTCTTCCTCCTCTTTCTAACTGCTTGACTATTGGACCATCTAAAGATTCTTTCTCTATCCGGTCACTAACGTCCTGGAAGAAACATTCAGATTATTTCCAGTTTTATTTCCAAGCCTTTCCCAACAGTTTCAGACTGCTGCTTCTGGGGAATTACAGACTGTTCTGGTAATAAAGTTAGAATTACACTTCACACCATGACAGTGGTTGGGCCTAGGACACAGAGGTTTCTGAGGTGATGAGCTGTTTCCCCATCTGCCAAAGACTTTCTGGCACAGAGTAGAAGATAAGGCTGGAAACACCTCAGGTCCTCAGTCAGTTCCCACCCCACAACAGGATTCAGTGCATATTCACTGCTGTTCTTCAAAAGCAGCCTGGCAACAGGTTCTCTGTGTGTACTGTAGCTGCTAGAGACCTTCCTCAGTCTCAGCTCATCACATTCTGGGCCCCTATGAAAAGCCAATTTCTTAAGAGCTACACTCAGGTGTTATGACTTTGCTTCACTACTCAGAATAACCCTGTGAGTTCTATGGCCTCAAACAGGCACCAACCAGAGACTGAATTCCAGCTCTGCAGAAAGTCTCCAGGAGTGCTGAGAACTGGAGGGCCAGAAAAGGTGAGGACAGACCTGGAAGAACTGGAGCTGTTTCTCCAGACTCCAGAAGAAGGGGTGTTTGAGCACACAGCTGGCAGACGGGCGTTTCTGAGGGTCCATGTTTATCATCTGCTCGATCAGGTCTCGAGCAACTATGTCTTCTGCAAGGAAAAGAGGGTAAGGGAAAGTCATTTCACTTATTTTATTTTC